ATTGATTTGATCTCTCTACCCCCAGTCCTACACACACCACATATATCCACAGTAATCAGATTTGCATATTATAAAGATTACTTTATAAAAAGCACTTCTTGTTAGCTACACACACACATCCTAATTGATCTCTCTACCCCCAGTCCTACACACACCACATATATCCACAGTAATCAGATTTGCATATTATAAAGATTACTTTATAAAAAGCACTTGTCTTCTTGTTAGCTATTGCTTCTATACATTTGCCTCTACTGGGCTTTGAGTTCCTATACTTGGGCATTCCCAGCACAAATCTTCAAACAAAGTCTACTGAATAAATGAACTGCTATCCTGGAGTTCCAGGAAAGGAGAGATTGGGCAGAGTAGGGAAAAAAGAGTAGGATAAAGACATAGAATTGGAATTAAAACTGAGTATAAGAAAATTTGCTGATTACAATTATTTTTAGATATAGTGTTAGAAGAGACTATGATTAAATCATTACGTTGTACATTTTAAATATAACTTTGTCAATTATATTTCAATTAAACTGAAAAAAAAAACTATGAAAAAAAATCCAGAGTTTCTAATATAGTACAAAGCAAAAAACTATTTGAAGTTGAAATAAGTAAAAATTAAGGAATAGTATCATTTTGCCATTAAATATCTTAACAATTGTATCACTATTATACAAGATCTACAAACTTTCATGAATCGCGCATGCTATTATTAGTCTTTTTTTCATCACTTAGAAATTTATATGGCCGATAGTTAACAGAATAATTTGAAATGAATGTAACGTTTTCCGCATAAAAATGAGTGTTCAATATTTGTGTGCTAATGAATATTGTTATAGAACTTCATTTAAACCTTATATCTGTTTATTAAATAATTTAAGGCAGCATTTAATAGAAATGAAAAAGTATATCTTGTCAATTCTCAAATTTTTACATATTACAGCCTGGTTTAGTAATTTTTCAAAAACAATAAAGTTATCTAATTAACTGCTCTTTACACAATGCATTACACTAACAACTAATTTTCTTTGACATTTATATGTGTCAGGCACTGAGGCAAGAGATTTACATGTTTTGTCCACTATTAGCCCCATTTATACATGAGAAAACTGAAGTTTAGATGAAAGAAGTATGTTCTCCAAAATCACCCACCAAGTCAAGGCAGCCTACTCCAAAGGTGGTGCTTGAAATGTTGCTATCCGGTTCTCTGTAACCGGAGAGCAATTCCTAAAGACCCACAGTAGCCTTAACTTTGATATAGCTGAAGCAAATAGGAACGGGTTGTCTTCTTCTGGAAATATGACACACAAGACATGTTAAGTGACCGTTTACTTTTCTTACCTTGCACTTTCTTTTGGAGTAAGAGTGACATCACCATCAGATGCGATATCAATCTCACAGTGCTCAGGCTGAATTCCTATACCAAAGAGCTGGATGTCCTGAGAAGTATCTGCACCTACTCTTGTATGGTCCTAGGAACAGAATATTAAAGGAAAAAAACCCACACTTAAAGTAACTCACAAAAATTTTCACAATAAAGTTTAATAACCCAACAGCATATGCATGACAATATCGAATGAGTTAGGAGATGTAAGATATCTGGACCATTATAAGTCAAAAGCTTACCATAACACACTAAATTAAAAACAATGTTTAAACATGATGGGGGGTGGGGTGGATGACCCTGGTGAACAGTGATTACATACTGCCTTAAAATGTAAGGAAATTGAACTTGACAGTAGAATACTTTGAGTTCCAATTTTAACTCAACAACCTACTATTGATGTGAATACAGGCAAGCCATTTCATTCTCTGAGCTTCAGTTTCCTTTTTGCAAAACCAGGACAATATTATCAATTTGATTTACTTAACGGGATTCTTTTAAGGATTATCTGAGTTAACAGCAGAAGTGCTTTGAAAACAGCTATATAAACTCAAGAAGGCTAAAAGTAGTTTCATGGAAAGTGGTATTTTAAAATATATAACTTAAGTTTAAAAATAGTTGAATACCTAATACTAATATTATGTAGAGTAATGAAGCCTGTTGCTTATACAATGTACAGATTAGTGTGATTTTAAGGACTTTGAACCTCACTCATATGTGGACTGTGACTCCTGGGATTAAGTCCACTGCTCAGTCCCTTTGCTTTTTCTTTTACTCTAAAAATCATTTAATCACTATGATAATAATACTTTCCTATTCAACAGAAAAAGTGTTAGGCCTTAGGATTTCAGAAACAATTTCATACCCCTTAATCATTTACTGAATGAACAAATCTTAAGTGTTATTGGGCTGTCGACAAGTCAGGGGCTATTTCTATCATATTATGTCTCTGGAAAAAGTAGAATAAAAAAGATGATAGGAGACTGAGTCCTTGCTTCAATTCTAGCTTATTCTCTGTTTTGTATATTCACTAAGCAGATCAGAATCCTTAACAAGACGCCTATCTAACCTTTCACAAGGGGGTAATTTCTTTGCATTTAGAGATTTAGGTGTGTAGACAGTGTATACAAGCTGTCTTCAAGACCCTAGGTCTCCAATCCTCAACACTATTTAAATACATATATACATATATTTATATACCACCATAACTCATATGATTAAAAATGTTTCTCACGGTCAGCTAACTGCCTCATGTCAGTTGGGGTCCCTATTTCAAACAGAAGTCTTATTTCTCCCTTAAAATAAGCTGGCATTTCTAAAAGTAAGGTCTGAGAACCTTTGGAGTCTCTGAGTACCATGAGGTCAAAACTACTCTAATAAAAATACTGAGACGTTATTTGTTTTTGTGCTTCTCATTTTATCACAAGTATACAGTTTTTTCCAGAGGCTACATGATGTGTGATGTCATGGTTCTGAGGATTAGTGGACTGTATGTTTGCACGTTTGTATTTTTTAATGTTCTCAGCTTTAGTATCTATACAGTAAATGCAGACAGGTATAATTCAGATGTGCAAAAGTTCTTTGGAATCCTTGATACATTTTTTAAAGAGTATATATGGGTCTTGAAGCTAGAAAGTTTGAGAACAGCTGCAATAAGCTATCTAACGTGGCCAGCGGCATACCCTGAGTCCAAAGTGCCAAATCCAAACAGTCACATCCCATCTCTACTCTTGATGGGTAGGATCAAAAGTTATTTCCTGAGGATGTAGGTCCATAAGAGATAGATAGGAAAGAACCTTAGCTGTCTAAACTACTACAAGAGTTTGTTTTAGCCTTGTGTTGATCTTGAAATCACCTTAGAATTACTAAGAAGCATTAGCTGTGTGATTCTCCAGAACGTCTCAGGATCTTTGTGATTGAACCTAGATATTCTAAGAATCCTTGACACCATAGCTAAGGATCACATTGACACTCTCAGCTATCCACTTGTGCCCCTCTGATGCCCTAATTGCACAGCCCCAGGATAATACAAAATAGCTGTTTTTCATTCTCAATGGTGACCTGACTGTAGTATGAATCTTTTTGATGAGGGCCAAGCTAGATACAAAAAACAAAGTCATGGGGACAGGCACCCAGATTCAACTGAGAGTTACACATGAATTTGTATGCATTTATATACCCTCTTACCTTTAAATAATAAACCAGAAGTTCATTGAGAGCAGGGTCTGCATTCAAGTTGACTAAGTAGCACTTGTCATCTCCCACCTTGATACCAGATGTTTCCAGGGAAATGCCCATACTTTCAAGTTGTCGTTGTCTCTCCTGTGCACAAGGAAGACAAAAGCAAGAAACTCTATTTGTTGCTCTATTCGCTAGCTGTATCCATGGAAAGTGTAAGTCACTGTTTCTGGGGACAATGCCAATTAAATTACACATCCCACTAAGCTCAACTAGGTTTATTTACAGCCTAAAATGTATGACGTCTTGTGTTAGTGCGTTGGGGGCACCAAGGGTAAACCAGACACCATCTTGCCCTTAAGGGGTTTAACTGTCTAGTAGAGGGGGAAGACCACATAACTGGAATCAAGAGGAGAGCCCTGTGCCACTGGAGAGGAACAATGTGTTGTGGGCTTCACAGGACGGAGATTATAATGGGCTAAGAAACAAGGAAGGCTTCAGGAAGAGAATACATTTAAGGTGGTTCTTGAAGCATAAGAATTTCAACAGAAGAAATGGAGTAGCAAGATAAGGGCAGGGTGTTCTGGGGGAAGGGTACAGGAAAGCAGAGTAAAGACTCTGGGAATACTGGAAGATTTCAGGGCCCCAAATCCTTAGTAAATGTGGAAAAGTACTGGGAGATGGAGCTGGAAGAGCTGATTGGGTGCCTATTGCAGAGGGCCTTGAATTCATTCATTCACTGATGACATATTTAGTAACAGGTACTGATCTAGGGCAGAGAATATAACAGGGAACAAAATGAAGCCCCTCTTTCACGGAAACATCTATTCTAGTGGAAAGAGATAGACCATAAAAAAAAAAAAGACAAGTAAATATATAGAATTTCTAATGGGAATAAGTGCTATGGAAAAATATTAAGCAATGTAAGAGGGATAGGAAGTTAGGTGTGTGTGTGCGCACGTGAGTGTGTATGGGGCAGAGGACATGAATAATATCTACAATAAACATACAAGCAAACAGCTGGACTAGATCTCAGTCACTGCTTTCAAGCTATGTGATTGAGATTGGTCTAGTACTTCCAAGTGGTCAGTGAGCTTAAAACGTTTATAAAATGCAAGTGTAGAGATTCATAAGACACATACTCACATACGAGTACAAAATTAGTCCTTGCTTTATATTTTCTCTCAAGTAAAGTTCACAGAGCATTTTCTATCAGGCCCAAAGAATCAAATACATTGAAAAACTATGATGTGCTGAATGTTACAAATTCTGTCAATAAGGTAGCCATGTGCTATGCCAAGTGATCTAAATTCACAAAACAAGATTTTTGTTTAAATGTGTAAAGCAGGAAATAAAGATATTTCCTTTATCATGCCTGTTCAAATTTAGTGTTCTCCAACACTTCCAGCAAATATATAAATCAAATTATAGTTGATAAAAGACACAAAGTCAATATCTAAAACTGATCTTTGCAGTCTCTAGTTCAGCAAAAAAGAGGTTCTCGAAAGACTTGTTGAGCACAAGTGACTGACAATACAGAAAAGACAGCAAATGAAAAAGAATCACAATATTTTAGGCCTAAATTATCAAGCTACCTGTGCAATTTCTTCTGTTTTTCTCAGCTTCTCTTCCCAAGTCACTGTTAGTTCTTTTATCAGCTTTTCAGACTCTTCAAGCTTCTCTTTCAGTTCAGGGGCCTTCATAGCCTTTAAAATGAAACCAGAGCTATCTGATTTTCTAATTTTTTCTACCACTATAAACAAGACAATCATTTATTGTCCTTCTTAAGCAGTTATCAACAGTTTGTTGGAAGCAATTAAGTCACATGCTGTCAGGGTGGGTTTTAGACCTTTATTAATCAAATGAAATGTAAGAGGCAAACGGTTGCTACTATTTAAAGGAGAGAAATACTAGTGCCCTGAATTAAATTGATAAAATCATTACAGAGTAATTTTATCCATCATACTTAAATTTCACAGTTAAAGATGTTAAAGTTTATTTTCAAAATAGAACATAAGAAAGAAGGTTACTTAGGCACATTTCTTTTTCAGTAAGACAGAGATCAATGCACATCACCAATAAAGGCATTCTGGTTATATTAACCTACCAGGAAAGGTGAAGATTCTTCTCGTTTATTTAAAAATTTGAATTAGGGCCCTTTAAACTAGTTTTCTTGTTGATGGTAATAAACCTAGCGTATTTATTATTCACTTAGAAGCAGGACATCTGGTTAAAAGAGCAGTAATTTCCCTCTAAGTTTGTTACTTGAGAATAACTAAGGGGTCTAAATACAGATAGATGCAGCTTGAAAATGTGGAGAGGCCTTTACTTGGCAACGATATGCTTTGACACTCTATAATAACATGAGCCTCTATAGAGTATAACCTTATCAATAAGATGGTAGAGCTTGGACAAGAAGCTGAAGTGGCAATGATCTGGAGGATAACTGACTGTGCCTGAGTTTCACAATATTAATAGACCCTTAGCGTGACATTTAGTGCTGGGTACAGGGAAACAGAAGTAAATCTAGGTGAATCTGCTATGGTTCCTCTCTCTTAAAGCCAGGCATTGTTAAGGCCAACTGGCCTAGACTAACTGGTCACAGTGAATATGCAGATTCAGAGATAAGAGGAAAGAAGTAGATCATCTACCTTTAAACAAATATCAGAAGCATTACACTTTCCACTCCAGATCATGACTCACTTCAAAGGTTATCTACATTTTGATTTTTCAGGTGTTTTGCCATCCTTCTTGGCATCAATAAAAAAATTATGCTTAATGCACTGAATGATGATTATAATGGCAATAACAAAAATAGCAATATTTATAGAGTACTTATGATGTGCAAGGCATTGGGCTAAGTGCCTTCCAGTATCAGTGTGGTACCAGGGTTAGGGCTGAAAAAAATTAATAAAACACAGCTTCTTGAGCTATCAAAGCTCATAGACTAGAAGAAGAAAAAGACATGTAAACAAAAAAATTATAATGCAACTGCCAGGATCACCAATTCATGGAGTATTCAGATCCTTGGCTTCACTCCCATTTGTTTGTTTTATCTCCTGTTGATTACTTTTGTGATAAGTCCATAGACAAAAAGTATTTAAACAGTGCCAGATATACAAGTGCTCAATAAATAATGACTATTACCTTTTTTTCCTCCCACGCTTAATACTCTCCCAAATAAAGAGGGGTCAGAAGAGGGTGGTGTGAAGGAATGTGAACTCAGAAGCCTTAGGTACACACCCAAGTCCTGGCATGTGGGAGCCTGCGACTTAACCTAAAGCACTTGGCCTCCTACTACCTGTTTCAAAAGAGATAGCATAGCGCCTCGGTAACTTGCATAAAGCAACAGCTATTTGGAAAAGAGTATGATTATTAAAGTCTGGGTAAAGCCAAGGAAAAATGGCAACAATGCAAAATTATTGATTTTTGTCTCCTCCCAGGAGCTGACATTAAAAAAAAAAGATTTCTAAATTATTCCTACCATTTAATTATCCTTGATAATGCTGTCTTCCATGACTTGAGATGACATAAAACTAACTTTTTTGAAAACTGCAAGGCCTTTTGTTAATATAGTGTATAATGTTAATAAAAATAACACACTTGGTTCTGTGTGCTCAAGGGCCAACTGATTTACTATAGCAAACAATTAGGTGGTAGCAGCAACTCTCGCTTAATTGTCTGCTTTCTAGACTGTAAGGTGCTAGAACAGAAGTTTTGTATTATTCATGCTGTCTCCATAATGCTTAGCACATAGTAGATGCCTATCAATACTGCGATGTTGAACCACATGGAGCTGACCTAGAGCTGCAAGCAAGCATGTCCTGACCACTCTGATATCATAGGTCAGAGAAATTCAAAAACAAGGAACACCAGACTATTTTTTATTTTTAACTTATTTTTAAATTACAGTTGACTTACAAATTATATTAGTTTCAGGTGTACAATATATCTTATGCAGCAATCACTGCAGTAAGTCTAGTACCCATTATCACCATACGTAGCTGTTAATGACAGTATTCTCTACGCTGTACATTACCTCGGCCTGTGAGAGCTGCTCTCTCAGTTTCTCGACTTCCTCCCGCAGTTCCCGGATGACTTTTGCATTGGGATCCTCATTCACAATGGCATGGTTAACAATCCTTTTGGCTCGATCTGCATATCGTAATGTGGAGAGAGTCTCTTCATAGTTGTCTGCTGCTGGGCTAATGGTGGCTATCATAGAGGTCTGACTGTTGCCCCCTAAATTGTCCTACAAAATATTTCAAATAGCATCTTAGGGAACAACGCCCATGTAAAAAAGTATGATGAAAGTAATAAACTATTCTGTGAAGAAAACAGTATGTGAAAATAGGTCTGTATTTCAAGTAATTTTATGAGTAGATGAAATGTGGTCTCCTTATATTCACAACAATGAATGACGCCCACCAAACAGCATTATAATGAAATAAAAGGCAACAGAAACAAGTTTTCATTCTGCATTCCTAGGAATTAGGAGAGCACTACAGTATTCTCAGATGTTTACTGTATATTTAGTTAGCTTTGCACACACCTTTCAGCTGTCACCTCAGACATAGCCAATTTTTAGTTGGAAAGGAACACTGGAACACTGAATTACCTTAAGAAGCCAAGTGAGGACTGAATCTCGATAAGGCACAAATTTGTTTTTTCCCTTGCCAGCTGCCTGGTCAGCCAGAGATGATATAACCAACCCCAAGGTTGTCAGTGATCTACCAAGAGGAAAATTTTAAAATTAGTTTTATGGAATGTTTATTTTTAGTTTTCATGAAACAATAATCCTTCTAAGTAATAAGTATAAAATATGCAGATCAATAAAGTGCTAAAATTGATATAATCAAGTCTTCATTAATTTGTCAAGCTGAGGAAAAAACAAAATAATTCCACTAATTTAAAAAAATGAAATTAGAATGCCTATAAGAATCTATTCTGTTCAGTCACAGAACATGTGAAACATACATTTCAGAATCTGAAAAAGCACATTTAAAAGATCACACTGGCAAGTTTTAATTTATTCCAAATATTATGTTACAAGTCTGAATCATTTACTCTTTGGATCTAGTTTGGACCATTTTGGCCCCTAATTTTGTTTCCTACAATAACCACGTAATTTGCAGAGTACCCTTCCACTAAAAGTTATAAGCTATATACTGTTCATCTGCTTACCGCTGGCAAGTTTATTTCATGTAGAGTTATTATAGTTTACAGAAGAACCACTCAAGCAGAGGATAGCATAAGGCTACTCTTCCAGCCCCTGCTATTCAAAGCAGCATTGGCATCACCTGAGAGCTGGTTAGAAACAGAATCTTGGAAGTCTCCCCAGGCCTACTGAACCAGAACCAGTTGAAGGTATCTCCAGGTGATTCATATACTTCTTAAATTTTAAGAAGGCCCGACTGAAAGATATCCAAAGTGATAAATAAATTTAGTTGTCTATGCCTATGATTCTCAAAATGCGGTGCTGGGACCTTATTACAAATGCATATTCTCAGGCCCCACTCCAGACCTATTGAATCAGAAACTTACAGTGGGACTCTACAATCTATACTTTAACGAATCCTCCAGGTGATTCTGATGCAGCCTAGAGTTTGAGAACCACTGGTCTAGGCTACTAAGCTCCCCCTGGTGGTTAACACATGTTCTCTGCACCTGGAGAAAAGAGTACCATAGAAACAAAAGATTTGTAGTCCTGAAGAATGAAGGACATCCTCTGGTGTCCCATTTAAATTCCAATTTCTCTTCTAAGAGAAAAATCAACTGAATTCCAAGTTTAGCAGCCAGAAAACAGCAGCCTCAGGGATTGCAAACAAAGTTAGATGATACCATAAAAACAAAATGCTTTTAAAATAGTCTGAAAAACCAAACATTACTATTTATTTATAAAAACACAGAAGGGCACAAATCAGCAAGTGACCAGAGGTTAGCAGGTGAAAGACTAAATAGCTTTTTTTCAAATATTAACAAGAAACTGAGTTGAAAGGAAAGAAAGCATATTTCCCACAAAACATAATTCCTCAAAGGCGACTCACTGAAAAGTCACTGAAATACAGAGCAAATTCAAGCAGCAGAAAATGAATGAGAATTTTAATAACTACCAGCCATTACCACAAAGTGACATAAACACATACATTAAAACTGACAGGTTTAAAGTTAAACAAGTTCAACCCAAGAGAAATGAAAACATATGTCCACACAAAAACTTGTACATGAATTTTCACAGCAGCGTAGTCACAAAAACCTAAATGTGGAAACAACTCAAATGTCTATCAGATGATGAAGGGATGAATAAAATGTGGAATATCCATATAATGGAATATTATTTGGACATAAAAGAGAAATGAAGTTCTGATACATGCCACAACATGGATGAACCTTGAAAAATTATGCTAAGTGAAAGAAGCCAAACACAAAAGGCCACTGTCCTAGGTTGAACAGTGTTCCCTTCACCCAAATTCATGCCCACCATAACCTCAGAATGTCACTTTATTTGGAAATAGGGCCTTTGCAGATGAAATTAGTTAAGAAAAGATCACACTGGATTAGGAAGGGTTCTAATCCAATGACTGGTATTGGTGTAAGAAGGCCATGTGAGGACACACATGGAGAACACCAAGGGAAGACAGAGGCAGAGATTGGAGTGATGCATCTACAAGCCAAAGAATGCCAGCAACTACTAGAAGCTAGAACAGAGGCACAGAATACATTTTTCCTCTGAGTCCCCCAGAAGGAACAAACTCTGCGGATCCTTTGATTTTGGACTTCTGGCCTCCAGAACTGTTAAGAAAATAAATTTCGTGACCTAGTTTGTGGTAATCTGTTATTAAAACACTACAAAAATAATACAGCCACATATTATTTGATTCCAATTATATGAAATATCTAGAACAGGCAAATCTATAGAGGTGCAGGTAGCAGTTACCTAGGGTTAGGGGTGGGGTCAATAAGGAATGACTTGAATACACCAGGTTTCTCTTGGGAGTGATAAAAATGTTTTAAATTACACTGTGGTGATGGCTGCACAACTTTGAATATAATAAAGCTATTGAACTGTACACTTTAAAATGGTAAACTATATAGTATATGTTATTTCTCAATACAGCTTTAAAAATTGAAAAAAAGATTTTTAATTAAAAGAAATTCAGGAAGTTCAATCACTCCTCCTTCCATGTGATATGTAACAAATAAAGGAAAGTAGTTCGATATAAGGCAGAAACACATTTCTGATCTAATATAGAATATAGGGCATTTTTCACATTTTGTAACTACTGAAATAAAATTTTCAGTTAGAAACAAGTCCTTGAACTACCTCGGATTTTTAATACCCGATTGCAGCAGAAATGGCTTTAACTCATACAAACTATAAAGAGCTCAGTGACTCAAGGTTCGCAATGGCCGTTCATATGAAAACACATTTTGGGGATGTCATGGATTTTTCATCGAGACTAGATTTTACTTCACTTTATGGCAACTATTTATACTTCCTAATTTGACAGTGCAGAGATTAAAAAGGGAGCTTCTGTCACTCCTAAATAATAAAACATAAAATCAAATGAGTGTTAGAGAACACGGAGAGGGTAACACAGAGTCATTAATGTCCACTAAACAAGGCATGCTCTGCAAGCTTAGTGCAGGGGGAAGAAGCATTAGCAGGAGGGGGTTGGAGCTGGACTGACGATGATACGACTCCAGTTTCTGTGTGCACTTTGCTCTATAATTTATCCAGTAAGAGAAGCTTATCATTAATAGAAGTCAGACTCTTTTACCTAATAGCGTGCATACGTTCAAAAAAAGAACTTTATCTAAACCTATTAGGGTCTCCTGGAAACAAACAGAAATAAACTGCAGGGTGAGTGGGACTTCAGGATGAGTGAGAGATACCAGGTTACCCCGTGACAAGGGGTCCATGCCATTCCTCCCGTCTAGGTTCCACTCAGAAGCAATGATCCAGGGACTACTAAAATCCTAAAAGCTGTTTGAAAGTTCAATGTGTGAAAAGTGAACAACAGGCTAAACAAATTTTAATGAGAATTTTATTTCAGATAGCTTAAAAATATAAAAGAATCAATTATGGATTCTGTTAGCACTCTCTTCTCATGCTGGAGGCAAACAGGCAGCTTGGGTGCCTCACAGGTGTCTAGCATAGGGTGAAGTTGTTTGCAGTTTTAGCAGCTGAAAAAAGTTATTTCAATAATCTTTCTAATTCTACCAAAGCACTGCTTCTGCCCCGAATCTACTGGAGGTAGAGATAGCAAAGAAGCTCCTATTCTTTAAATCTCTTAGCAGAGTTCTCGGGCTGGGATGGGGAGTAGAAGGAGAGGAGCTGACTAGAGAGGAAGGAAGAGTTAGACTAGGGGATAACATTTATAAACAGACAGCCATGCTTTAAGATTTAAAATTTCAAAAATATCTTTAACAATAAAGAATTTGGGATCAAAAAGAAAGTAAATAAAACTTGAATCAAAAGTAATATAAAAGCTTCACCAATAAATACATTCAATGAAAAAAATAGTCATAATTCTTTTCCTTTTCTTGCTTTTCTGCATGTTCTAACCTACATAGATTCCAAACCACCAGATTCCTGCCCTTAGGAATGGATATAATGTGATGTGAGTTACCTGTATGCTCTAGGGTAGATTTCAAATATACTATTTTACTTATTTTTCCAATGACCTTCTTGTAAGATCATATGTGCAGTAATTATTAAACTTTATTAGAGTTAGCCATATACAGTATACCTCAGAAATATTAAGAGTTTGGTTCCAGATCACCACACCAAAGCAAATATCACGAATAAAGTTTTAATTACTTTATTGGTGGAGGGTCTTGTCTTCAATTTGTAAAAAATGCAACATCTGTGAAGTGCAATAAAGCAAAGCACAATAAAAGATGTATGCCTGTACTATTTCTCTATCTCTTCCTACTTAGATTGTGATCACCTTGAGGAAGGTAACCATTCTATTATCATACATATTCCTCCATGCAATTACTGTGCCTAGCTTACAGAAAGCACTAAGTATCTGTGGAGTAGAATACACTGAAGAACAGAAATGGACCTCTTTCTAAAAAGGACTAATTCAATAACAGTTTTGGTATGCTTTGTGGGTGCTGGCCCAATATCCATTTTCCCCTTTTTCTTACTAACAGAACCCTAATTTTGTTGGGAGGCATGTGCCAGGCTAAAAACACCACTTTCCAGAGTCCTCTGCAGACTAGTGAAGCCATAAAACAGTGCTGGCCAATGAGATGTAGGAAGACATTATTGGGGAGGGGCTTCCAAAGAAGCTGTCGTTCTTCCGATAGAAAAGATAGATTATGCTGCTGACAGAAGCTGGTGGTCCTTTACTCCTCTCCTCCTTTCTCCTTCTTGTTTGGAACACAGACATAGATACAATGCTTGGAATGGTAGAGCCATCCTGAGGTCATGGGGATGGCATGCACACACACACAGTAGGATTAGCAGAGCTGTGTGCCTAAGAGCATTTCTAAGGTGCTGTTCCAGGTTCTAGACTTCCTGTTAAGTGAGTCAAATCAATGCATCATTTGGTTGTCACTGTGGCTTGTTTCTGTTGCTTACAACAGAATGTAGTACCTGGCTTTTCAAGAATTAGTTGAAAGATGACGAAGGTAGTAGGTCTGAGTTTTGTAAACTTCCCGGTAAGTCCCCACTCTTAACAGTAAAGGAGAGATACAAAGAATATAGGTGGCAAAATATGAGGAAAAGACAGTACCATCACCTGACAAGAAAGAAAACTATTATACCTACAGTATAGGCCCCATTTTCATTCACCATTGTTTTCTGGTGGCTAATGCAAATCATTAAACTCAAATAAGGCTCATCTAATGAGTTATCATTCCCAATCTCATTTCCAGCTCAATTGCTGTGGTGTAATAATAAAGTATATACTAACATTTCCAAAAACAAGTTCTTTTGGACATTTGTTCCAGGGATTTTAATTTATAACTAGAATTCTGCCAACAAGTAAGCTCAGAGAATGATAAGTTATATGGGATTCATTAATGCAGGACTCCTCAGAGCTTTTAGCGTTGTGAATGTCCAAATGAAGGTTTTATAAGTAGCCTTTCTCAAAACTATTAATCCAGGGATCCTTTATTTCCCAAAGCTACTTGAGGAACTAGTATTTCACAAAAATGCTTTGGGAAACACTGAGGCAACAAAGGCACATACCTCAAAAGATGTGGATATTCCCCAACCAGCGGGCATATTTTTGCTCTGTCCTTTACGGGTCTCTCATGTTAAATGTAAAGACATTTATTCAGATTTTTTTCACATACTTAGACCCTACAATGTACAAATGGTAAGTTAACAAGGACCCCCACCTGCCCTTAAATAATGGACAGAAGCATGTCTTTTTTATTCTCCCTAGGTACAAATACATATTTGGTCATTCAGGAAACACCCATTTAAGTGACATTTCCAAGAGGAAATGAAGATGAGTCATGGAACGTACTCAAGAAGAAGGAGGACTGAGTCACATAAAACATTTGAAACATTAAGTTTATATTATTATAATGTAAATTATATAACAAAACCCTAGGGGTAACATATATTAATATCCCTAGAATAAGTTCGGTAGAACCCATTTTTGGAAATGTTTAGTATATACTTTATTATGAACCACAGTAATTTAAATGGAAATGAGACTGGGAAAGATACTCATTAGATGAACATTGTTTGCATTTAATGACTAGCCATTGCTGAGAATAAAATGGAACCATTTTCAGTGGTATTCCTTGGGACATTAGAGTGTTCCATGATCTAAATGAGTTCTCAGGGAAGCTGAACCAGCCAGACTCCAGCAGAAAGGAAAGGTTTCCTCATTCCACCCTTAACAGATAGGTGGAGCAGCAGATGGATTTTTCAGATGTACTCCCCTGTGAAGATGGTATTCAGATGACTTAAACCTATGGAGCCCTGAACAGGCAGGCCATGGCGGTGCAGTCACACAGCACCTTAGCTCTCCAAATGAAGGAATAATGCGTGCTTTAAAGCTCTTACAAGCTTAAGGAGAGATGAAGCTCCTAAATCCATAGCCCATTAAGCAGACACTAACGTCTGTGTGATGTCCCTGACAGGTCTGCTTAAGAGGATTATTAATGTTCCATCCAAAAGAAGCCCAAATAAGAGGCTGAGAGAAGGCTTAGGAAACATGTCACGTCAGAGACTTCTTTAACACTCAACTGGGCACTGATTTTAAGGCTTAAGAAGCTATTTGTGGAGCTATCAAGCAGAAGTTTCAATTTGTTATTTTACTTTATTAGTACATACTTATATTGAGCTTGCTATGTGCTAAGCACTGTCCTAAGAGGTCAATAAGAACTAGTGATCATTACACATTAAGGCTATACTCTGAGTTTCCACAAATTCACGGCACATAATTTCCAGTGTTTTTTTACAAGCCGAGCTAGCAGGCAAAGGGCTGGCATGGCTAAGGAACAGTAAACAAATCTCTAAGATAGGTAACAAACTTTCCTAGGGAACCTGCTCTCTCACACTCTCATTTCTGCTTTCCCATCCTGGTTCCCATCCTGGAATGCAGAACTGTAGTGCCAGCCTGGGCTCCTATAATGCTTTGTCATGAAATACAGCAAAATCCTTTGTTATTAGAGTAAGAGACAGGATGACTGGAAGATTAACTCCCTAAAGTAGCAGTCTTTGCAGTGAGTGTGGCTGTGTCCATCTGATAGTCTAATTTTAAACTTTTGTATACTAAAATTATAATGTGCTAATATTGTTTTAAAATGCAAGTGCACAAACATGTTCCTGAATATATTGCCTTCTGTCACCTTCTGTCCTAAACAAAACCCCAAGTTACATATCTCAAGAGAAGAATGTTACAAGTACAAACTAAACTACTTTTCGCTAAACTTGGAATAAAGATAACGATTATGCTATTTATATGGATTATCAAAACAATAGCTACAACAATATTTATTCAGTGCATACTACATGCCAGGCATTGTTCTAAGCACATTATAGGCATTTAATCTCCAGTAATTCTATGAAGTAGGAACTATTATTATCCCCATTTTACAGATGAGAAAAATAAGAGGTAAAATCACTTGCCCATGATACATGCATATCTAGTAAGTGGTGGAAGCAGAATTAAACTCAGGCAGTGTGGCTTGAGTGTACTCTCTTAAATGCAAACTCTGCTCTCTCTCATGTTGGAAAGCAGCGAGACTTCTCTTGCATGCCAAGAGCCATCTGAGACACTGCACTACTGAAAGAACAAGTCTTTCATTTGTCTGTGCCTCTGCTGCACACTCCGCATGGAATGCCTTTATCTCCTTTGTCTACCTCGCAAACTCCTACACATCATGCACCACTGCTCTCTTTCAGCCTTCACTGCATCATTGGGCACACTGGAGAGCACTAAGGCAAATAGTGAGATTGCAGTATGGCAGTTATTCAATAACGACTAAATTTTTTTTTTTTTTTTTGAGATATTGATGTTTAAACAGTATTAGCCTTACAAAGGGATTCAAAGCAGATTTTCTCTTCATAGTAAGCTCCCCGAGTTAACTGACTACATGATTTGATCCATGAAATTGTGATTTGCATTTATCTATGACCACATTACATATAATGATAGACTAAATGTTCGTACGATGTTTGAGCAGGGCTGCACCATGTAGCTTTACTTAAACTTTATGCATCTCAATGGAGGCAAGCTGCTGTTTTTGCTCAACCTAGTTTACTAAAGCGGCATAGACTCTGAACCACCCATGATTAGAGCCATCTGACCCCTAATATTGCAACAAGTCCCCCCAGGCACACAGGAAGTTGGATGTGATGCTCCAGCTTAGCACCAGCCACCTTACTTGTTAATGTTGCTGCCTTCTTTCAGTCGCTCTCCTGCCTCCTGTTTTTTTTTACCAGCCAGGTCTACCAAGCTCACCTTACTGACTTTCTCTCCAGAGTTCTAGTCGTAGGAAACAAGAGAGAAACAATACATGTGAATGTAAAAAACACACAGATTTCTACATATATGTCAGCACTATAACTGAGAGCAACCTGAGTAACCATTTTCTACAAGGCAAACTTCTCACGATCTTAAAGAGCAGGAAGAGTTATCTGGACTAGCAAGTTCATAGTAATAATTTAAATTGGTGTGGTCATTTTGTTTTGCAGCTAGGTAGAAGTATACTCGGCTTTCCAGAATATAGTCAGAAAGCTAAGATTTTATGTGCCTATGAGGAAATACTAGGACATGAGGATTCCTGTGCATTCAGGTCAAACTCTCCTCTTCTGAGAAAACATTCATCAGGCTAAATGTTGTGGTTTCTTCTTTAACATTCCTTAATGACCATGAGGTAGACTCCGTTTTTTTTAGGGGAATTTCAGTATGAAAGGATATATATTAAAAAACCACATAGTGACGTCATCATGCCCTTTAGGAAGTTCACACAAGAAATTCATTATATTTTTTTTAAAGTTATATATTAAGGAAGACCTAGGAAATTAAATGGTTTACGCACAGTAGCTCATCTAACAAGTAAAGAGCACGCATAAAATCCTCAGCAGCTGAACCCAACCATGATACATGTCACCTCTGTAGATATTTTGAGCTCTTTTACTGCCACCAAAGGATCTTCCCAGTCCCTCACCCCAGACTGTAAGTCGTAAAGTGTCTGTGTGATTATGATGTTGAACACAGCATGGGAGCGGCTACTTTCTTCATTCATGTTGGTTGCAGCTACCGTCCGAGACTTATTTCCCTCAGACATCAATGACTCAATATCCTAGAGGCAAAGCATAAGGAAAATATTATAAGCAAAAACTTATGAACACAGTCCTGCCCACCAGGTGTATGTATTAATTATGATCCCTCTGACGCATTAGTCACCACCCTCCCATAAAAACCACCCTGCCTGTCCTCCATCAACCATGGTTTGAGCTCCCACCTCCCTCAGTACTTTCTACGGATGAAATGTTTTCCCCATCCTTTCCAATCCGCAATTGCCTTCTTTCTGTCAAGCACCTATTTTTCTCTTTTGCAAGTTCCTAAAGGAGAAAAGAGCTAATATTCATTGAGCACCCCAGATACTCAATAATGACAGCAGTTTCTTCATTTCATTTTAATTCTCTGGGCTTAACAACTGTGTGCAGTGATCTACTGCCCACTTGTGTGCCTCCCTCCTCCAATACTGTGGCTCTTCTAGGACAGGGAATTCTCCTTACTCACCTACGTACACCTGCCTCAGAACATCTGGAACCTATGGGCTCTTATATAATGTTTGATAAATGAACCTTATAAAAGAAGCATTTTCTTGATTGTACATACAAGGACACTGAAGTTCACGGAAGTCAAATAACTTTTCCACATCTAGTAAGAGGCAGAGCTGGGATATAAATCACAAGCTCCCTGGCTCTTACTAACAAGTGAAAGGATGAGATAGACACTGAACCAATCACACTGAGCTACAAACCAGGGCTGATTTAGCACTTTTATGCCAGAGAATCTCCATTCATTTCAAAATCTAAGTGTTTTAAAAGTGATGATTACACTCTATTTCTGATATCTTTAATACCGAAAATGGCTTTAATTAAAAATTTTTTTTTAAATTTTTTTCAATTACAGCTGACATATAATATCATATTAGTTTCAGGTGTACAACAAAGTGGTTAGACATTTAGAGAACTTACAAAGTGATCACCCTGATAAGTCTGAAAAATGTCTTCATTTAAATGGCTAGAGTTACCTAACAGATTAATTTTAGTTGTATCAAGTCCGAGGTGATGATAGGCCAGCCACCAACACATACATAGCACAACTAAGTAAGTATAAGGGTGTATTCACTCATTCATTTGTTAGCACTCTTCAGCAACAGATAGCAGTTTGTTTTATGAGATTTCCAAAGCAATGAAAATAAAAACAAGGGCAAAAACATCAAGTCAGGAGGTAAGAAGGCATAAAAATCAAGGAGGAGGAAAATGAAACAGGCCAATCAATAGAGAATCACTTCAGAAAAACAGAAGAAACAGAAGAGTGAAAAGTAATGGAAACTAAGGCATGAGACCCTGTCAAAGAGAGGGGTGGAATTAACTACCAAATACTGTTTACATTTGTCCAGATTTATCTAGAAGGACATCACTAGCAACCTTAAAAACAGTTTCAAGAGAGTGGTGTTAGTGAAAATATTCAGCAAGCTCAAAATGTTGGGCTTCTCAGCTACACTGTAAAACGTTCATAACAAGGCAGGTTGAAGACTGTGAAAAAAAAGGCCTTTGCCCTTTTTTTCTGTTTGAGGTGTACTGATACTGGGTTTTGGAGACCATGAATGGTATTAATATGCTATAAAACATTCATATAAAAATATATTCAATATCACACACTCTGATTTACTGCCAGTTATTTAAAGACATTAAAAAAAAAAATAACACTTACCTCAAAACTAGTGACAGCCAGTTGGGATAAGCCATCTACATATGGTCCCAAAACTTTATGCTCTCGAACTTTAAGAGATTGTCTACTCCTTTGGGAAGTAGACAAGGAAAAAGGAATGAATGAATCAAAGCAAACTTGGAGGTTTTTCTAAGTACTCATAAACCAAGACTGCAGTTTCGAAAGAACTTTTTTTAATGATCAAAAAATATCCTAAATCTATTTTACTTACATTAGCAAAACAGCATGAGGAATGTCTTTTATACTCTGATTTCTATTTAAAGTAAATTACTATTTAAAAAATTCTATCTCTACTCCCAAACTAAATAGCCAGCACACAGAATACTAGGCTAGGCGAGGTTGCTTTAGCAAATGAACTTCAGTTTTCAAACAGGAGGAAAAGAAAAGAAAACGAAGCAAAAAACATGCCACGAATGAATTTAACCTTAAGGCTATTTTATAAATAGGCACATTCTCAGTATATAATATTTTAAAGTTCTGACCAAGTAATGAATAATATTTAAGTATTTTATTTTTAATTAATTTTTTCAAGTCTGTATTGATTTACGCTGCTTCTATGCTGGCAATTTTATACAGAAAGTGATATTATAGTACAGAAGTAGTTTGTAGTTACTGATACTTATCCTACATTTAGAATTGGCTCTGCTGGTGAAGATTTTAGGGCTCTTTTGAATTTTAAATGGCAAACATGGTTGGATATCCATCCGAATAGCTTATCAACAGATAATTGAGATTAAAAGAAAAGCTATACATATTATGACCATGTTGTATATGTCATCTTTTTCATGGCATCAAATATTAATCACCTCTCGAATCAAGAGTCAACACTTGGCATCACTCATGTATGGAAAGAAGGAACAAAGGACCACTGAGTGCTTCCCAAAGTCTTGGCATTGTTCCCTAAGAACTTTAGAGTTATCCCACTTAATGTTAGAAAAACCCTACAAAGTAACCTTATTTAGAAACTATTTTAAGGATGAAAAATTCAATATGACGATGAGCAGTTCTGCTGCACTCTAAACAAAGGCAGACCAAATGCATGTCTGCAAGAGAGATACTTTGATACACACAGATTTAGAACTCAGCTCACTCTGCTTGCACGGCCAGAGAGTCTTTAATGGTATTCATGAGCATGAAAGAGTAAATCTAGCACAATACCAAGTGCTTGTGATGGTGTCTAACATCTGGAATTCTTGTACACTGATGCTGGCAATATAAACTGCCACAACCACTTTAGAAAACAGTTTGGCAGTGCCTAATAAAGTTGAAGATTCAGTATTTGTGACCCACAATTCTAGAAACTCCCTCATTTGAAAACCAGAACTGTATGAGAATGCTCAGAGGAGTACCATAATGATAAAAAGTGAAAACCACACAACAAATGACAGGAGATGGGATAAAAAAATTATACTATAATCATACAATGGAATGCTAAAAAGTAGTGAAAATTAATGCATTCTTACTTCACACATCAGAACAAATGAATCACTAAGGGGAAAAATAGCAAGTCACCAAAGGACACATATACTATAATGTCACTTACAAAGTTGAAAATTATGCAAAATTATATGTAAACTATAAAGAAGAGGAAGATAATGAGAAACAGAAAATTCATAATAGTAGTTACCCTGGGGAAGAATGGGATCCAAGAGGAACATATATGGGGCTTCAAAAATATTAGTCATATTCCACTTATTAAGCCAAATGGTGAATAGGGCAGTCACTGATTTTATTATTCTTTATACTTTACACGTATTATAAATGTTCTCTCATGTGCATTAAATAGTTCATAACTTTAAAGTAAATATAAACATTTCCTATGATTGGGTCACTTTCTTGGCACCCATAATTTTAATCTTATACCTTTGATTATACAGCCGCTAAAAGCATTTAAAATATTTTTTAATGACATGAGAAAGTGTTCATTATGTTACACAAAATATTCAGGATATTGAATTGCATTTAGAGAATGATCTCAACACACACACACACACCCCATAAATTTGAAACACAGGATCAAAATGCGTCAAAATATTAAGAGTGGTGGTATTAAAGGTCATTTTTATTTCTTCTTACATTTTTCCTATTTTCTAAATTTTATATAAGTATATATTATTTTTAAATCAGTAAGAAAATTTAATTAAAAAAGTAAATGGCCTTTTCCTTCTTGCATAAACTAACTCATCTGGTTTTTATCACCTGGTTTTTAAAAATATAGATGCCTGGGTTTTCTCAGGGGTCTACTGAATCCCAGTCTCTGTGGGTAGGGCTCAGACCAGTGTATCTTCAAAAAACCCTCTACGTGATTCCAATGCACAGCCTGGGAAGAAAACGACTTGCGTAGGCTGGGTCTTTGCGATCCTTCAACCATTTCTCTTCAGTTTAGAGGTGCTGCTTTCTGACATAAATGGAAAGGCTACTGGGTCATTTTAAACTTAATTTTAATGAATAAACCATGGTGGTAAAAATAATACCAATAGTAAAAATGATTTTTTAAAAATGGCATATATAAACAACTTTATACATGAAGATAGCATAAACTATGTATACTGGGTATACCAACAGACTTTGAGAGCTGATGATTTCTCAGCAAGTGAAGTGAAACCAGAGAAGTGATCAAGAGCTCAAATAAATATATTCACTTCCAATTTTAACTTCAGGATCATTTAACATTATTACCCTCTGTATAAGCTTAATTTCAACCACTAACTTACCCTTTGGGATCTAAAAGATCCCGAACTTTCTCATTATAAATTTCCATATAGGATACTTCAACTTTAAAGGTCTGTGACTCATTTTGCTCCAGAGAGATCCTTTTAAATAAAGCACAGCAGAGCCTTGGAATAAGGCCCAGCTGCTCAGCATTGCCCATCATGGAGAAGGATTTTCCTGAGCCTGGAGAATTGAAAGTGGAAAGAAAAGAGGGTAGAAAAGGACGCAAAATATAATCATACAATTTTTCTACATATATCAGCTAAGGTCACACAGCAGAAGTGGCAAATGTGTCCCTCAAACTCTGCCTTCGGCCAACAAGGCTACTATTCTTTTTATTATACTCACGGCCTCTGGTTTGACTCTCATTGTGACATTAAGAGGGCACCTCATTTATAGGTCGATGTGTATAAATATAACCACTAAAAATAGTATGTATAGTAAATATGAGCTATATGTTATCAAATAATATTAACAGTATTTACCCCCAAAATATTTTGTTGTGCTTTGATATATATTCTCTTGTCTTGAGTCTCTTAGTTGTCCTGTGATATGACAATAGGCAGTGTTATGATTTATTCCAACTTTAGAGTAGAAATAATGGTGCTCAGAGAGGTAATGGCTGAGACACTAGTATGTTTTTGTTTTGCTTATTTCAACCAACTGTATCACTAGCCTAGGTTTAGTAATCTATCATCATTTTGTAGCCTAGTGAGAGTCTTCTGTATAGTATGATACTAAGTGTTTTTTTTTTTAGTTTTTTACTATGACATTTATACTGAGAAACTGAACATTATTTTTCTAGTTCAAATACAGGTTAAACTATAATTTAGGAAAATGACATTTAATAGTTTGAAACTAGCTTTGCTCATTAACACCAAAGTTACTCAATTACCAAAACCGTTAAATTGTCAAAAAGAGGGTTACTGCTGATCATCTAATTCAGTTAAACCCACAAAGTCAGAAGCCTTTTTCTGCTGTTTCCCTAAGTGTTTTTATTTCTCTTTTAAGAAATGCACATTTAATATGACTGGCTGGAAATAAAAGCAGCTACTTACCTGTCTGTCCATATGCAAAAATACAAGCATTATACCCCTGAAAGGCTTTTTCAAGAATTCCTTCCCCAAGACATTTGAAAACTACTTCTTGACCTAAAAAAAAACAAAAGAAAAAGAATACTTTTTCTTGACACATTTGTATTAATAACTAAGTCCCAGTTACTGGCATTCTTTCAATCCAAAAAGATGTTAAAAGTGTATTGCATGTCTACTATATGTAAGTATAAGTATTAAAAGCTTAACAAATGCAATTTTATTTACTCTTCTAAACTATAACTCCATACCTGGATCAATTTATGATTCTACCCATTGCTTCCTTCTAAGACATTTCTCTAGGCATTAAAGTTTTCTTTCCATATGGACACAGCCATAAAATTTGGTTTAGTCTCTTCTCATGAGTTCATATTAAATGTCACTAAACACGAATTCTCTGATTTACCATTCTGGATTCTGAGCTTGCGATGAGCAGAAACTATGGTATGTGCATGCACCTCTGCACCTAGTATGGTGCTAAATACCTGCCAGGTGCTGAGAAACTGTTTATTGTTGGTGGAGGTAATGTGTTGAGCACAGGCACCTTTCACCTGTGTTCCCATGGGTGGGTTGGAGACAAGTTCTCCTCCATGAGCCTATCTACAGCTTACTGCAGCTCTTGGGAGTGCTCTGTCATGTGCTATATACACTATGGTAGTATCTGTAGCATCCAGCTGAACAGTAAAAGTATGAAAATCTTTTTAAACACTTAGGTGGCATTTACTACCCTTTGAAATTGGTGACTTTTTAACATTCATTCCGCATCAGAGAATTAAAACAATATTCTTCTTCCACTGTGCTCTTATAGTCCTTAGAATGTTCCCTATTATAGCATTTGCAGAAACTACTGGTTTAAATACTTTCCTCCACTGTAATGAGAACCCCCTGATTGATGTCAAGACTATAATCTGTTTATCTTTGTAATCCTGGTGCCTAGTACAAAATGCTTAATAAATGTTTGTTGAAAGAATCAGTCAGTTTAACCTTTTTATCCTACATGACAATTCCTTTCACATTTGGAAATAATGCAACATAAAATAAGCTTCTGGGTGTATATTTTTCTTTTCTGCAAAGTTGGATCTGAGTTCAGCAGCCCCTTGTTATACTATGACATAGCATGGATGCAGAATAGGACTCTTAAAAGTGTGTAAACAAGAAACAAGAGTAAGTTTTGACCTTTATATTGGTGAAAAATAAAATTCTGACATGAAATAGAGTTAGACTGAGGAAAAAGGTATTTTAATAAGCTACTGTTGGGAGAATAAATGAATGCAGCCATTGTGAAGGAAAACCTCATAGCACCTATAAAAGGGAATATGCCCACACTCTGACCCACAATGAAGCATTTACACTACAGACATACTACCACAAGGGGCTCATGTAAAGGGATGTTCACGGCAGCATTATTTATAGTATTGTAAGTTTGAATCAACCTAAATGTCCATTAGTAAGGGAGTGGATAAGTACAATGTGACTATTTTATATGATAGAATATTACAAGTAAAAAAAAAAATTATGTGTGTAAACAATGCTAGAGTTCAAAAACACTGTTCAGTTAAAAAAAAGTCACATTCGGACTGTACATGTAATGTAAAAACTTATGTCAAAAAGTGTGTGTGAGTGTGTGTGAATGTGAGAGAGAAATGTCTATGAGTACTAAGGTTTAAAAAAATGGAGAATAAAATATACCAAATTTATATAACCTTATTTCTTTATTTCTGACTTCTAACATCCAGCACACAGCCTGGTATCTAAGTGGTATTTAAAACATGTTGGCAGAACTTGTGGATTTTCTTAAATAGTAAGAGGCTTTCCTCAACACACAGGTTTGTTATGAAAACTACCTAAAGATGTGTGTGTGCACACATATACACTCTGAGAATAAGGTATTGTCAAAATTATTATCCACTAAACACACACTTTCGAGGTTGCTTTTATGTTACAGTTAAAAATGATAAGGTCTTGTGCTCACTAAGAAAATATTTGACCCATCCTGTTGCTGATCTTTCATACACATCAATATTTTTTTTCTCATATGGTTTCTCAAAGGACTTTCCTTATTCCACATGTAATCCCAAGGCCCATGCCAAGAGGTAGGTCTTAAATCTGGAACTGGGCCCTGTAGTGTAGAAGATTAGGAATGAAACACCGCCCGTGCTCAGATTTGAGAGATGGATCACGGTTCTCAGCCAGACTGAAGTGCCATTCCAAGGCATTCTAAAATCACTGCTTTCTTGTCACAAGCAGATGAATGGAGCAATCATGTTTGATCCTCTACACTGGTTAACCAACTCCCAGGAAGGGAGTAGAGTGACGGTGGGGACAAGACACTTTAAGACTTGGCTAGGTCAAAAATCCTGACCTTAATTCATGATTTCAATTTATATTTAGTAACTTGAAAAAAAAAGGCAAGAACTTGAATTGATGAAAGGACTCAACTGCAGAGAAGCACTGTGGTCAAAGCTTTTACCATGCCTACATAGAGCCTGAGGTCATTAACCAATCAAGAGTTGATATCTGTTCCTGTATCAGGGAGTGAAACGTAATACTTCTGATTTCTGCTCCCAATACTGAGAAGGCTGGAATTACAAGGAATTATGAGGAATTATTTTCTCAATGTTCTTTCAATCACAATGTTCCTTTTTCCTTGGTAGGAATGACCTTTTAAACAAGTTTAAAAAAAAAAACAGTGTTACAACTACATGACATAGGTCCGTGATGTCAAGTAAAAAAACAACAGGATGTGTATACTAAAATTGCATGAAAAATAAACCAAATGATCAAAGGATTCTTCAGGATATAAAAATATGAGAATAAATTTCAGTTTAGCTTATAAATTATTGCAAATACTAAATAGGATATGAATTGACCTGCTGAATTTTTATAATTTTGTTATTGATGCAACTAAGAAGAAAGAAGAGAATTTTTATTAACTGCCCTATATGCAATGCCTTTTACATATTTTATATCACTGAATACCCAGGAATGGATCGATAAGGAGATTGAGACTCTGAAAGAGTAAGTCATTTGCCCAGGATCACGTCACTAGTGAGTAGCAGGGCCTGGATCTACCTGTATTGGCACCTGAACATTAAGGCTGATGCCCACCCATAATAGGTTACTCATGCTGCGTGACCCTGGGCATCAGCTGCTCTCTCTTTTATGATCTCCCAGAATTCATCACACTGCAGTATATTTTTCTTCTACCACTGCATTATGAGCTCCTCGGAAAACAGTCGTCGTTGCACCTTAGCAGAGTACCTGGCGCACAGCAGGCACTCTTACTGAATTCGTCCTCTGTTGACACTGCTGTTTTCAGATTAATATGTATTTAATTGGGGAGCCTTTTTCTCATTTATGATGACTGAGGCATCAAAATATTGCTTGTTGAACTTAAAAAAAAACGTTTAATTGCATTAGAGGCTTTTGAAGTTCTAATGAGCCCGTAAAGACTACTATAGCCTCTGATAAATAAGGCACTGGGGTTTCAATAGACATGTCGACATAATATATATCTATTAATTGGATAATTTTGATAAAAATCAGAGATTACACTTTTACTGACACCCACAGTAACCTCCTGAAACTTGAAACAAAATATATGTGACCCCAAACAAATAAATGAGCCTTTCTGATTTCCACTAAATACATACACATGCTTTCCAAAAAGTCAAGTTCTTTTAGCTAAATATTTAGTTACATTTGACACACTGAAGATAATTCAAGTTTAACACATTTAATAAAATTTTAGTTATAACTAGGCAAGGAAAATTCTGGAAAACACAAAATGGAATATGAAAAAGTAGAAAACAATTATTTTGTGTTTCTGAAAAGAATTTTTCTCCTTTCCATCCTTAAGTAACTTGAAGCACAATTTATAAAAGAATACAAAGAACTATTGTCAAGTTCGTGTATTTTTACAAATCTAAGCAAGACTGGATTCCAGAGAGATTAGAATACATTTTATATGGTTTTATGCCTCAAGGGAAATTATTCTCTTTTAAGACAAGAAATAACGAACACTTTTCTACCTCTGCAAAGATACATCAACCTTAACATTGTTTTATGGCTGCTTAGCTTTTCATGGTATGCTTAACTGATGTAATCAGTTCCATATTAGGATATTTAGATTATTTCCTTTTACTTTTTCTGCAATACTTATCCTCACATATTTACCCCTGTGCACTTTTCTATTGACTTTACTAGGCAAACTCCAAAAAATCAAATTAAAAAGTCCTCTATAATGCAAGAGTCATTTTTTTCTACATTTTCCAATAGTGTTTTGGCTAAGTCAATAGGAAAAAAAAGCCTCTTGTTTTGTTAAATTAAAATTTTCTTTTTTGTAGTTTATTGCCCATTTGTATTTATTCTTTTAATAAACTGGATATTTGGGTCCTATGTTTATTTTTATAAAGCAATTGGTTTAGTCAATGATCTTTAACTTAATAATTTTAAAATGCTCATCATATATCAAGAATATTAATCTTTGGTTTATGTTGTAAATATTTTTCCCTAGCCCATTATTTACTTTCAGTCTATGTTGTTCTTAGTTGTACAAAAGCTTCTAGTCTTTCATATGCAATTTTTTAATCTTTTCCTTTATAATTTTTACCTATGGTATAAGTTATGCTTCCAAAATCCTTTTGGATTATGACCTAAATTATATAGATATTCACCCATATATTCTTCTAGCTTTGTTGTTTTGTTCTTTTACAGTTTTACTTTCAAACTCTATTCCTTATTAGCTGTGTAACCTTGGGTAAGTTTTTAGTTTCTTCATTAGTAAAATAGCAATAACAGTTGCTATCTACTGAGTCTGCTGTATGATTTAATACGGCAATACACGTAAAGGCTTTACTGTAGTGCCTGGCCATATGTCTAGATTATATTTTATTAGTTAATATCAGCTATTAATATCATCCCTTAAATCTTTAACCAACTATAACTAATTCTGGTACAGAGAAGGAGGTGATCATTTAATTATTCTCCTTAAAAAAGTTCTTCCATCTTTGCAACAATTCTCTGAGGCAATCCAATTTCAAATATAAAAGGCCTCTGTT